ATCACTGCCTTTGCTGAGATTCCTGTCAGGCAGCTCCTGAAAGGACCTGTCCCTGCCCCACCTGGGATCCGTCTGCCAGCTTCCTTGTCTTCCTTCTGTTTGGGGACCCACTAAGACAAAGTACTTCCAAAAATAAAACTTGGGGGAAGCATCAACTATGGAAAAGTTCTAGTTCTTTATAATCCTTTACAAGTTCATTGTTAACTCTGAAAAAGAAATTATTGCTACATATATCTGGGAAGTTGATTATAATAAACAGGCAAAATATTCACATTATTTAAACCATACAAGACTTGCAGATGTTTGGGTGGTAGGGGCACACTATAAATCCTATATTTTAAATGGTAAAGCAGAGTCAGAAAGCAATTCATAAAATCTATAAAAACCCCAAATGTCCAAAATTTTCTGCAAAATAACCATTTCATGTCACTAAGAGTTGGTCCTTGGAAGTGTGCCAACACATTTGCAGATAATAAGTGTAACTTATCTGCTCCATCTCCTGCAGATATTAGGCATAGGTCTCCACAGTGAAAGAAGGCAGAATTATACATATTATTGCTAGAATTTAAATTAGCGTGCAAATTCATTCTTGGATACTACTTGAGCAGAGAATAGTTGTTAAATCTAAAACAAATATGCAACATTTTAAGCATCTGAATTCTGGAGCAGAAGACTGGCACCTGCACCCATAGAAAGCTTTTGGTTTTATGAAGTAAATTAGTTTTCCTAATTTTTCCATGCTCTTAAGTCTCAAATCACATGTATTGAATTTGCTTCCTTGTAGAGAAAGTAGAAAAAGTGCTTGATAATTTGGGTTCATTTAGTCAGTAAATAACTTCATCAGGCCATACTGATGAATTCACTGAATAAATATTTACTGGGAAGCAAACTAGCATCGTAGCTAAGACTGAAAGCTATGAAGTCACACTTGGTGGTAGGAGCACACTATAAATTCTATATTTTAAATGGTAAAGCAGAGCTTAAATTCTGGCTCCACTACTCACATGATGACTCAGGGCTGATGACCCTGCGCCTTAGGTATTCTATTTGTAAAAGAGGAATAAAAATTGTATATAGATAGCAGTGATACACAGTCAGAGGGTGATTGTGATACTTAAGTATTACTTGTAAAGAACTTAGAAGGGCTCCTGGTACTCAAAGGTACTGCCTTCAGGGTAGTTGCTCAGAGGTCTCTTCAAATTTTAATTTATTTTTCAAAATGTAAACTACAAAGCTTCATAAAACAATAGCATTTTAATTTTTAAATTAATTTACTATGATTTTAATATACTTGCTTAAATTCTTTGTACCTTCATTATGGCCTAGAGTAAATCACCAGGAAGTTCTCATGTAATAAGATTTAATATAAAATGTGTATGTAAGAAAATGAAAAGGAAGAAAGACTATATATTCTCATATATATTCATATATTTATATAAAATACTGAAAGAAAAATTTCAGTCACCTTTGTATTTATATAGTCTTCAATCTAAATTAAACTTTTTTGGAGGAGACGGGCATTCTAACACAAGACTATAAAAATTTTATATTAAGTAGTTTGCTTTCTAATTGAGTGTGCAAGTGTTGCTTAATTCAATATATGCTTTCACTTTTATTCCTAGTAATAGCATGAAGTATATTTTCAGGAAATTTAATTTCTAATTAAACAGTTCCTACTGGTACAAATCTATGCCAAGTTAACTCAAAATGGGTTATATTTTTATATAACCATGAGTATTTTCTCATGACTTAAATTTTTGTTGTAGTACTTACATAGAACTGTTATAAATATATTTTTCTTGGAGTTGTACCATCAGGTATTTAAAACTCATTTCTTCCTTACTAATGAGGAAATTTTTAGAAACTGTTACATCTTCAAAAAATATCTGCGTGGTGTCTGATGACCACATATCCCATATACTCAGCTTTCCTAAATTTTTAGAGATATAAGTTCCTAATAATGAAAGAGCATGAAAATTATTCATAGAAAAGACAATTTTAACTATCAAAAATAAAGTATTTTTGTTTAACTCATTCAGGAAGGGAAATTTGGTGTCTATCAATATGAGACCTTATGTTAAGTACCTGTGTTTTTCCTAGAACATTTGGCACAATAGTAGGTCCCAAGAAGTGATTGGTGAATAAATTAATGGTTCTTACTACAGAACATATCTTTTTTATGATCTCTTACTAAAATTTCAGTGCTGAGACCACAAAATGCCCTTAATAAAAATGTGTCCCTTGATTGATAACATACCAAGTTCACTTGCTAGCTGAGCTTCTTTGGACATCAGAGGCACAATACTATAACCACTAGGTTAATTAAGGGCCCAAAAGTGCTGCTAATTCAAAATTCTTCTTATGGTTTTTCCTTTTATAAAGCTGAGGGACGATAGGTTAAAATTGAATGCTCTGCCTACAGGGTCAAGAATGGATGCCACCAAATGAGACACAAGTGTCAGAGGAGTTGGGGAAGGCTGTTTAATAGTCCTCCCCTTCCATCACCATTCAGATTTCAAACCTAACAGGTCTATCAGCATCTCTGCCCTGCATTAATCAGGTAAGTAGGGCATTCCATCCCAGAAAACCTAGTGGATTTTTTGTTTTGTTTTTAAGAATTCCATTCCTGTTTCTGTTTCTAAGTAATTAAACTTGACTCCTGTCCTTCTCCAAGAAGTCTGCATTTCACCCAACAACATGTGGCACTCAGTTAGCAGTGTAAGTGGGGGCTTCTCCGTGACTAATTCAGGTCAGAGGGTAGGGCACTGCATCGCTGGTGTAGCCAGTTAGGCGCATCCACTCAGCCTAGCACTCCTGGGTTGTCTACAGCTTGCTGCCATTGACAATATAGAATAGAAGACATATAGATATATCCAAGATCTATAGATGTTTTATTTTGTGTCTGTTAAAACAGGCACTCCATTCTCATTCATGAAAGGCAAGGGATAAATATTAGCAACTTAGAAACTCAGCTCTTTTTGTCTACCCGGCGTTTCAGAGCCAAAAATTTCTGGTCTGTTCACAGGATTAGAGAATTTTGAATTGGAAATGAGACACTATCTAATTCTAACATACTGCTTTAAACATGCAAGGCTCTGATCTGCGTGTCTTCTCCGGTAAAATTGATAGAGAATTGAGGATTCGTTAAGTCAAGAGGGTGCACACAGGTGAAGGAACCAAGTCAAACACATCTGTCTCTTTGGTCTTGCTGCCTTTGTTTGTCATTACCAACTTTCCAACCATTACCTTCACAGCTGAGGAAACAGCAGCCAGACTGGTGAGGAAAGAAGGCTAGTGTCGGGGAACAGGAAAAGAAACATTTAAATCACTACATCACAGGAGGACCACTGGGGTCCACCGCCAACTGCACAACCACCAGCTCTCAGGTCCTGGGTGTTTAGGAAGGAATGAAAGCATGGGGTTTATAGGCATATATGCATAACCCATGGTCACAGACAATAGTGCAGTGAAGGCCCGGGGGAGGAAAGGGGGGGAAGGGGGACATCTGTAATACTTCCAACAATAAAGATTTTAAAAAAGCGCAGGAAACCTCTAGGCAGCAGTTTAATTAAACAAGAATGCAGCACAGAAACACAAAGAGTAGAAAACAAAGTGAACAGAATTCCAACGTATATCTATATTCCTAAAGGAAACCTGGAGAAAATGAAATGAGGCGAGTTTTGAAGAGATAATGGATGAAAATTCGCTAGAATTGAAGAAATACGTGAGTTCTCAAATTGATAAGCTACTTTAAGATGCAAGCAGGATTATAAAGAAAAAAAGAG